ACTGCTGCTATCCTTGGAGATGTACAGATGTCTCATATAACAATGTAAACTAGAATAAAAATGCTGCTCTTATATATTTCACCTATGGAATTTTTGGGCAAGTTTTTGTTAACTCTTTGAGGGAATACATTTTTGACAACTCTTTCAAAAAAATCTCAAGAGATTTACCTGCTGCCATTGGTATCAGAAAATGGCAATTTCACATATGCTTATCAAGTCTCTGGTGTCATGCACTTTAAATAACTTGCCAGGCTTGCTGAGCTGGTGTGTCTCAAAAGCATTGACTAACCAGTTGGTGATCTATTACGGTGTTATAAAATTGATACTGATATTATTTCAGCAGTAGTATATACAGAACAAAAAATCTTCAGTAGAGAATAAATGAAAAAAAATGCATGCTCTATTCTGATGTTAAAAAATATTTTCTTCCTGTCTTCCCCAGAAGCTTAACTTTTTTCAGTGATGATTCATGATGATTCAGTGGGTATTTCGGCAACATCACAAATTTCCAATTCAGGCCTGAACAACTTCATGAATTTTGTGGGGTGATCAAGAAGTTAAGTACTGATGGTAGTATTACAGCTTTAAAAAATACATACTTACACAGCTTGAAATAGCAAAAGCCTTCATGTCTGACAAATGTTGCTCATAATGAAAATATTTAGATATTCCTAACTACAGACATCATCAGATGTTGCTAAAATTACCAATGTTGCACCATACTGAAGGCAAAATGAATGATTGTCAGTTACTTCTGTGTTCCAAAAAGCCTTATCACCTCTAGCTTCTCATCTTTTTAAAACTCCTTTCTGGGTCTCCAAAAGTACTGATTTTCTATAATGGGGCATTATAATTTCTCTTCCAATCCTTGACCCACAGGATACCAGGAGAACTGACTAGTTTTCAATTTGTCTGACTGTTGTTTCCTGCAAGGACTCTTTGGACTATAATCTATTTTATGGCTAATTCTTAGATTTAATTTGCTATCTACTGGCATATGACAAAATGAAGGCAGCCTTCCAAACTCCTCACCCTATTAAGGGGTAAAGGAAGTTAAGTACACAGAGAATGCAGATATGATACAGATGAGCTTTCACACACCAGATTTACATTTTTGGACTTCTTCAGCATTCTTATCCACAATTTGCTTTTTAAGGTTTCACTGTTTTATTTCCAGTAAGAAGCAGATACCGGTTCCCTGTCTAGGGAATGGTAGTTGGAAATATTCCCTGATTATACATACCTCTGTGTCACCATTCTCTGCATGTCACATACAGAGAATATGGCCAATTCTAATACAGCTTCAGAATAGAATGAAAATTATAGCTCATGTGACCAGAGTCACAAAGCATAAAGTATTAAAATATACTAAAATGTGGACTGGAGCTAATTTATGAAAAAACAGTTCAGAGGCTTGTACCTTTTTCCATACCTGTTCTGAAGTGTTCCTGACCTTACTTAACCTTGTCTTACTTTTGAGAGCTTCTTACAGATTTTTTAAAGAGGCCCTGTGTAAGAGTGAGGATTTTTAGTTCTGTGAGATGCCTATGCATTGCAGTAAGGAAGACTTAAAAGAATAAAAGAGTATGCAAAATTAAGTGGATGTTGCACATTCTTTAACTCCTTCTCATTCTAGAAGGCAAAGATGTAAGTTGAAAGGGATCATCATCTGCCTGGAGCTGGTACTTAAAAAAGTATGAGTGAGACTTGAATTTGTTGTTGGTAGTTGTAAGTAATAACCCTCACAATTCCAGGCCCAGTGTGGAGCAGAGCTGATTAAGGCTTCCTAGAACCATACACACACCCCTGGAGTGCTTGAATAGGAGGAATTCTTGTTTCCATTTACTGAGTTGTGGCCCAAACTAGCACTAAATTAATAGAAAAAAATTAAAATTCCTCTAATAAATGTAAATAGAATAGCTAGAAATATATTCAAAAGTACTCCAGAGTGGGGTTTTTTCCACGAAAGAACATAATTTTCCACAAGAAACATAAATTGCATTTTAAATTTTCACTCCATAAAAAAAGGAATGGAAAAAAAAAGTAGGACTCTTGGAGGAGAAAGAATAACTCTTAACTATCTGTCCAAATCCAATTGCAATATACTATGATTCTTCTTGACCCCTGAATTGCTTCCTGTTTGTATTTCCTTTAAGAACACAGTTGTACAGAAACTGAGTAAATACACTGAGAGACAACAAGGTTTTTTTTTTTTTTCATTTAAAAAAATCAGTGGAAAAATATCTACTGATAAATTTATTAAATCGTGCAGGTGACAACAAATTCAGCAGTTCCATAAAAATTTCATATTTATGTAATAATCTGTTAGTACAGACGATTTTGAATCTTTACCAAATCATTCAGCACAGTGTAGATTGTGAAAAGGAGATCTTACAGATCTTACAGATTTAGACTGTATGCCTTTCTGCACATTTTTCCCTCTGACAAAAGCACCAAGTAAAAGAAGGTTCTCCCAAATACTAAAATAAGCTGTAGGAAAAAAATTGGCAAAATGATGAAACCCATACATGCCAGATGGCAGTGTTTCCATGTTCCAGTACAAGGGTGTTATAATTCCATTCTTGACTGCAGTTCTTTACATAAAAGTCACCAAAAATAGAATGTATTGCAAAACCATACTCAACCATGAGTATGAGTTTTAGGAGTCCCAGTACATAAAAGGAAATGACTGCTACATCACAATTTTTAAAAATATCTAACACTTCTTTAAAGTAAAAGTTAAACACAGGCTGCACAAAAAAAAAAAAAAAAAATCTCTCTAAAGATATCTAACAAAAAAACCCACTTAGTACAACTGAGTTTGAGCTTGCAGTCTTTTTTTGAGATGTTTGCTATTTTTTTCAATCAGAGCATTCTTATCTCTTGAGACAGCCTAGTGAGCAGAACAAAATTTTCCTTTTTAAACAGTGGCTAGTTGTCCTGTTTCACACAGCAAATTACATGGAAATCCAGAAAAGGGTTCAACTAACCAAGAGATAATAAAACCTATATCTCAGGCCTCTACTTTCTATAAAGGCTATTAAGCCATGTATGCAGGTATTTCCTGACCTAAACAAGAGCATGCAATTTCTGTAGCATAGCAGACAAAACATTTTGCATGTGTGTGAATTTTGAGATCATTACATACCAGGGATACACTGAACTAAAAAGCAAATTTGAAAAGAGGGCAGTTTGGAAGTTCAGCAGTAGGGTTCTTTCCTGCCTGTTCTCCTGGCCAAAGCTTTTTCTCCCTTTTAGACAGTGTAACAGAGATTTGGTAATCCAAAATAAGAGTTTCTTCATTATGAACTAATGCTAATAGAGACATCTGAAGTGTTCTTTTGCATGTAGGAGCTTAATTTCAGCTTTAAAGTTCACTTTGGTTGCCCAATATGAATCTGACCATGAATACTTTATTCCAATGTTTGAAAATTCATATTCTAGTGCTGGCCATATTCTTTCAACAGTGTTTTAAGAAAATAGAGTTTCAAGTAACAGGACTTTTCAAAACACCGAAATTATTCAAATTCGTTACAGGCATACAATTTCTTATAGTTAAAAAACTTTAAAAAGAAAGGTTTATGGTTTACAGTTGAAAGTTCCCAAAAGTTAGTTTATTTTTCTTTTCTGTCTAATCTCTACAAAATGAATGAGGAAAACATTTCTGTTTTATAAATACAAATACAGAATTTTGGATAAGGGGAAGGCAAAGAGGGAAATACAATTTTCTAATATCTGTTTAAAGCTAGACAAAAGCAGGATTTGGGGATAAAAACTTTAAAAAAAATTAATTTTGAAGTTTAAAATACAGTAAAGATAATGGAAATAGTCACTTTGAAATTTAATTTGCACAGGAAGTGTGGTCTTTGAAAATAAGGTTGTCTTCTGGAAAAAATAATTCACAGTAGAATTAAACTGTCATTTAGTTTTTCTGTGTTATATCAGAGTTGCATTGAAAATTGAAAAGTAAAGTATTTTTGAGCACAAAAAGCTGAGTAAATACATGAGACATGGAAGACATTGACACCAAAATATCTTCAGAAATGAGAAGGCACACCAAAAAAAATAGCTAGCTATGGTATGCATGTCTTTGTGCAGGGATCTTTGCAGAGTTAACTCAAGATATGAGGATGGTGTTTCAGGATATGTCTCCTCAGGACATCACTGCCATACAGATACAGTTGACAAGCTACATTGATCTAAGTCACCTTTGCATGCTGTCAAACAACTTAGCACTCCATTTCACTTCACTCTGCAGTTCATTGACAGTTCACACCGCTTGCATGTCAGTTTGCTCCTGGGCTCTCTTTTGAACTGTCACAGCTAATTTTCTCTCAGGGAACCTTCAGGTGGGGATAATTTACTCCAAAGTAAACCTATAGGCAGTATGAATAAGATTGCAACAGGTCTGTGTGCACATCTGCACCAGCACAGTCACACACACACCTGCATGGCACACACGGAGCCCTCCACTGCAAGGCCAGACCTCTGCTGCTCAACAGTTCTCACATCATGCTGCCAGCCATACAGCACACACATTTGGTACAATTTGATAAAATTACCACTTGGGGAATAAACAGGGTCTTAGCTTTCCTCAGGCACCCTAAGACCTTTGGGCATGGATGGTCGGTCACAGCAATGTAGATCCCCAGCCATCCCAGAAACAATGCAGGTACCATTAGGGAGGTGCTTTGTCCAGAGCAGGAACCCTCCTGCTAGCTGTTCTATTGCACTGAATACATTAATGTTTAGAATATCCACTCCTGTGCCTGAAGCAGTAAAGCAGGGTTTACAGAGGAAGACATTGGGCTTGCTGCATTCTGGCCTGCTCCATGCTATGCACAAACACTGGTAGTTCCTCAAAACTAATATGTAAATTTAAAGGTGTAGAAGTTCAATATTCATCCAGAACATACTCCCAGTGCAGATGCACTTGTTGCTGGATTGTTTAATTTTTCTCCATTCAGAACAAAAAATCTTCACACTGTCTGTGTCATAGATATATTATTGTGTAATATTTTATTAAAACATATCTCAAAGTTATTTACAAAGGAAGCTACTATCTTCCAAATACCAACACTACCATAAGAAAACCCTATTGAGTGCATGATGAGTTTTTCATTCTCTAACTTGTTTTCCTATTCACAGCATAGGAAGCTGAAGGATGCAGAGTGCAGAGTCTGAATACACAGTTTATTCATGGAAAAAATCAGGGTGTATTTTTAATATCCAGGGTCCACTGAAAATAAAGGTACATGATAATATGTTAAAGACATAATGATAAGACTAAATGAAGATTCTGCAACTATTTCTATGTATGAGTACTTATCTCTTAAATTATATCTTCTATTATTGTTTTATATTTACTTTTAGCTAACACATAACAAACTTGTTACCAATGTCCTCACTCAAATAGATATACCTGAACTAAACCCTCATTTTTATAGTACAGGTTGTATTTTTCATAGGAATAAGATAGTATCAGGCTCAACAACACTATTTAAATTAGTGAATTAGTGTTACTTCCATTTTTGCTCAATACTTTTTCATATGAACATGACCACTACCTGAAACTAGTTACAAAACTAAAATACTGCCAAAATGTTTGTAAAATAATTTTAATACTTACCATACTATTTATCTCCTTTCCCTAGTTATAGGAAAACTTTACAATGCTTAGATGGTAAAAACAGATGAGGGGAGGAGTACAAATCAATAGGTTTTTCTGCTAACAGGACTGAAGCCTATTCTAGCGTGGCAGGTTTTCTGTTTCCTTGGGGAGGGGGGAGGAAAACAAACAACAAAAAAAAACCCAATTAAATGAGAAATAATGGTGAGGATGCAAAAAGAAAAATGTTTCAAAAATGAGGTTTCAGTCTTCATGGCTTTGGCACAATGCTGACTTTCCCCCAACATTTCTACAGAAGTGTGGGGAGGCAGAATTCTCAGCACTGCTTCTAGGACATGCACTTTCTTTTGCCAGCTGCACTAGGGCTCAGCAGCACCCGCACACAGCCAACACACGGTCAGTGTTTAAAATTTACTCTAAAAAGATCCTAAATTCAATTCAATTCAATTCACTAAATTGAAGGAAAAATCAGTGTTCACATCTCAAAGAAGATTCCACTCAAACCTACGTCAATTTAAATCATTGGCTCAGCAAATTCAGACATTTCCATTATCTTTAGAACATTAAGCCACTCCTTCCAGCAATGCTTGAAAGAGACATTTCTTCTTCCTTTCTTTCTTCCTTTGAAATGAGTTTCTTTCACCATAAGAAGCATGCTGGAAAATTGTGAACTGCAAAGAATTATTAAGATAAGTTAGTGAAAGAGGTGGGAATAGAAATCAGGAACTCTAGGCCTTATTCATGTGCCTTGAAGCTAAAAGAGAATTACATAATATGCATTTTCCTATATCAGACACCCACTATTATACATTACAGAAAAGCATGCCTTTAAGAAATTTTTATGGTAATCCTTTTTCTTTGATTGGCAATGCCAAGACATCAGCATCTTTTAAAAAATGAAATAAGAAACTAGTCTATATTCCATGCATCCTAGTGTTTCAATCTATATAAAGAATTCACTAAGTTTATTATACCATCTACTTGATTTGAAGGGGGAGGAATTAATGAAATGACAAAATCTAGTAAGGCATGTCTCAAAAACTTAATGATTAAATTACTTGTTCTGTCACTGCAATGATAACATTTGAAAAAGCCTCTACTGAGATAGGAGAACAGATTTCTTATCACAGAAATCTATCTGTGGGGAAAGTAAATTATTTGCTCTAATCTATATTCAATATATTCTTTCTCAACAAGAAAAATAAAGTCCATCTATAAAAGAATCCTTTAAAAACAAAAGGCATCCAGAAAGACAGTCATTCCCAAAGTAGTAGCTGCTTCTGGTCATTTGGGCTCAGCATAAAATTAATCCTCAGAAGAATTTAACACTACTCTGAAAAGATTAGAGAGCATTTTATACATACATACATATATATATATATATATATATATATATATATATATAAAATACTTATACAGCAATGATTTGGATGTTCTTTCTTGCTTTGTCATTATTAGGGTCATTTGTAAGGCCTTTGGTCCTATGATGGAAAAGGAGGGAGTTTTCTACTGCTGTCTGTTGATGAATGAGGAATAGAATTGAAGTCCACAGGAGAACAAGCTTGTTCCCACTCCTCTTTGGTGAGCAAGAGGAATTGAAGCTTGGAAAAAAGTCAGTCTGCATTAGCTTTCCCTGGGAAGCCCTCCAGGACTCATCAGAACAGCGTGCAAACTCCCAATGGCATGGAAAGAAAGAAAAGGTTCTGTTCTGTGGTTAGGGCTCAAAGGTCATGTGATTGACCCCAAAAATTTTGTGAGGAAATGATACAGATGTGATTATAGAAAGATATCTTGCAATAAAAGAGCACTGTGTTAAACTAGCAGAAGGCAGCAACAGAAAACCTCATTATGGCTGTTAAAATCCACTCTGACATGTCCTAAAGACTTCAGAAGGTAACCTAAAGGTGCACTGGTTTGAAACCCTGTTTCAAACATGAATAGTGTCTCACAGTTACTACATTGCAAAAAGATAAAGCAGCATATTCAAATTCAGTACTTAAAGGACAGTGATTCCAGTGGATTAAGAACGCTGTTTGGTAGATAGCTTTGCAAAGCACACAGAAAGAATATGCCTACATTTGTATTTGTTGCCAATTCTGGACAGAAATATAGTAAGATTACTACTGCAGCCATGGGGGGACCGTATTTTTTATAAACATATATCCTTAATATATGATTTTTGCAGAGAATTACAGAAATACTTTCTGCATTAAAATCTGATTTATAAGAGAGCACAGTTTCTAGAAGGAACTTAATAAATTTGCTTTTGCTACTTGGTTTTAGCAGCAAGTCAGCTTCTGTAATATTTTCTTCAGTGTTCACTGTAACTTGACTTAAAATTCATTGGTATTTCTACGTTGCTAGAAAAGATTTAGTTAATAATCCGTTTCTTTAGCCTGTCTGAAAAAAAAAAAGCTTTATGTAAACCTTTTTAAAATTTTAAAATTAACTGAGGCTAGTAGAAAACCGCCCCAAGTACCAGTTTAATAGATGTAAGATAGTAGAAAAAGTTGATATCTATCTTCAACTGCTCATTAAAAGAATGAAGTATATTGTGTTGTTCTTGAGGGAAGTTTATTAGTTTCTGTTCTGCTCTCTGCTCCACTGGTGATGTGACACATATCTCCAGACTTATTGGCTGGGAACCGATGATTTAGAAAACTCATGGGGTGGTAAGTGTTCTTATAAACAACTAGTTAATTTGCTCCTGGGAAACTTTTTCATGCCCAGTTGTCAAAGCTTTGCAAGGCTTATAGAAAACTAGGTTGAATCAGTGAAAGAAAAAATTAATCTGAAATTAAAATTTAAGTTCTCTTCCTGAAACTAAAATACTCACATAAAACACAGAGGACCAATAATTTTGAATCTGAATGATCACTCATTCTGTACTGCAAGCTGAATACTGATGCCCTTGTAAACTGCTTGCACCATGTGAAGACCTCACCAATAATGCACTACCAAGGGTCCTAGTCACCTAAATGTAACTCAGCTCTCCTGAACAACACAATGTGCCAACACCAGCTACAACTAGCATTAGGAAAATGAGTTATATGGGAAGGGATGTTGACTCGTTTAACCTATTTTACTGTGAGCAGAGAGACAAATCACTGGTACCAAGCTTTCCTGGACACTGTGTTGTCATCTTCTCCACCATTTCTCTTTTTTCACGCTGCTGTACTTGACTATCTTCTTTCCTTCAGTTTGCTGCTACTAGCAATGCCACTGTGGGCACAGAGCCTCACTTAATACATTAATTGGACTGCACTCTCTTCTGTGCTTTACCTTTAATACTGGCACATCTCTCTAGAGAGCAACCCTGCTCATTGGGAAACACTGAACTGCAGGGATAAAGTGCAATTGCTGTTTTACAGCACATAAACCAGTGGCTGATGCATTCTTCTGGAGCATTCCCCATATAACAAACTGGATTCTTTTATGCAATGATGGTATTTGTCTCTGGCTTATATCTCATTAAGTACCTGCATTTGAATGAACATTGCAAGTTAACAGGACCAGAGAAGGCATTTAATTTTTCTAGGCCTTTTAAATGGAGGTTGAATTTAGATGTCCTTGCAAAGTCCAAGTAGGGCTCCATGAAATTTCTTTCAGATAACCTGATAGAAAAATATGATTAAAAGCTTTTGATTTTGAAATTCAAACACAAATACTATAGTAAAATACAGTTATTGAATTTCCTTCATAATTTTTCTTTAGGATGATTTTTCTTCAAAAATTTGCCTGATTATGGGTCTTTCTAAAATAGAAGCTGGAGTTCTTTGCAATGCTTAATTCTTTATTTGCCTACCAACTACAGCAGTGAGCAGCCCAAATTTGATCCATATTTGATGCTTTCCATTACTGTATGTGAGAGGCATAGTCTTGCAAAGTTTTCCTTATTTTTCCTACCACTGCCTCCACACACAGTAACCTTCACACTGAATGAGAATAGCTGGATACAGCTTCCTGCATGGCTTCTCAATTGCTGGCAATTTAGTTGGCCAGATGGGGTTTCTATGGAGAAACGTGAAGGCTAAGTGTGCCCCTGCAGAGCTCTTGGCTCCTGCTGACTCAGCAAGTTAAGGACACAATCAAATAGTACAACTTCCACCTCTTTTCTCCCCTTCTTTATAACCCCTTCTATTTTTCCTTCTTCCACTCATCCAGGACTGTGTCTGTACTACTATTTCAGGTGACACTTTTTTTCCCCAATTAGGATCTGCAGTATCTTGCAATTAAGGCAGTCTTTACCAGTCTCACTCTAAGTTCCTACAGGGAAACTGTGAAGTCATAGAGACTACAGAGAGGCATGAAGCTTTAGCAGACACACAAAGCAGCAGCTGTGTGTGTAGATAATATGAAATGGTAGGACCGAGCTCTTCAGCCAGGAATGGAGGATAGCGCAGTGTCTGCATATTGTCTCTGTATGAGTATCAGAATGAGGCATCAGTTGGTTTCTGCTTTACTGAGACTAGGAAGGCATTAAGAGCAGGAGCAGCAGCTGAGATATAATTTTTTTTTTCCAGAGAAGCCTTAAAATAGACTAAGTGAGGGCACATATTGAGGGAAATGAGATTTAAGCTGCATTATAAATGGAAATGTCTTCAAATGGCATAATTTTGAAAATGTGCTGAGGCACCAGTCCTTTTAAAAGTCATGGGAACATAGTCATTAACCACACTAAAGTAGAGGAAAGTCCCATAATACAAGCTTACATTTGCAACTGATTGACTTTAGAATGCCTTAAATTGGCACATAAATATTTTTATGAAGGAGAGACAGCTCTGGGAAACAAAACACTGAAGAAAGCCAGCCAGTAAAACCAAACACCTTATCAAGAACAGGCTACCAGCAAGTGAAATTTTGGCCACAATATACTTGTACATCAAATAGGAGAGTTTGGCTCTCCGACATTCTTCTTTAAAATGGAAATATACCCTCAGTTTTATAAAGATATGTTCTTTTCTTCAAAATTATATCTCAAGGTCCAAAAACACAGCCACAGGATGGGAATATTTTTGTCTCTCCCCAGATTTAGTGACGATTCATTAAAAGAAATATTTCTGTTGTAGTTATAAGGCACAAGCTGAATATTTAGAAGTTTTCCCTTTACGGACAGCAAAATATGATTTTTAAAACAGTATTTCATGATTGATTAGTCCTCACTTTGGCCCAGAGTTCTTTTTATTTTTTTTGAATTAGCAAGTCAAAGTGACAGGAGCCTTGAATGATTATGATGGGAGCACATGTGTAGTGAGAAAACACTACTACATGGGCTGTTCTCTGTCTCAGACCTTAAATTTCCAGCATGAATGATGTTTGCATTCTTCTGTACTCATTTAGTTGGCATCTAATCCTTTTTTATTAAAACCAAAATTATTTTCTAAAAGCTATTCCTGCTTTTGAAGAACATAAAAGAGGAAAAAAAATCAACATAAATTATTTACTCCAATTCTTTCTATTGATGAATCTGAGAAAATTGACCATATTCTGTGTATTGTTGATAACTACTTCTAACGTCCTATTGGCAACTCTTGTGTTCTATGAAATTTTACAACAGCAGCTATGGGTCAAATATTTTCTTGCTATAATCAAGTGACCATACATATATGTAGAAATATATTAAAATATAGACATACAAGCATATATATATATATATATATATATATATATATATATGTTATGCAGGAATCTCTGAAATGGGGTCTAGGTAAATTAAATTTTCTGCTATGACTTTCTTCCATTTCCATCAAGTGGAAGTCAAGAGAAATAGTTTATTTCCATTCAGAAGCTTACTGAGCTATTTCATCAAAGTGCTTTCCTACCAGACATGTACGCATAGTGGACATGAGGCTTTCTGGAAGTTGAAAGGGTGGAAGTTTTGCTGTAACCTAATACACTATTTAATTGAACATATGACTTTAAATTAGTTTTCTAAACTGCTAATATGTTTTATGTTATATATTCAGTTGAGAAAACCAGAGATATCTCTGGGTGAAGGGAACTTATTCCTGTCTTTTCTTTCACAGAAAAGTTTACAGAACAATGTTTAGTTATTGTATCTATGTTGCTTGTCTGGACCTGACCCCTTCCTTTCGTGGAATACATTTCATATCTGAACCTTCTTTCTTTCAAGTCTTTCCACTAAATTACATTCCATCTGTGAAGCCTACAAAGCCTTAATCATGCCTTCTAACAAATGTTATCACACTTATATAGCAAAAGATGCCCAGAGAGAATCATAGAACATTTGGGAACTTCAACCATCTGTGCATCTCCCACTTATGCTTATTCAAGAGTTTTTACCCACACCCCAGTTCCCTCTTCTCCAAAGTGTTGCATACCTAAGTACATTTCCAGTAGAGACAGGGACCTGTGCTGTCCTCTCTCTGCAATAGAAATTACTATATGCCACAAAATTATATTAGAAGGATATTTTTAGGGTCAAAAAATTAACTGTTCATTTCATGGTTAGAAAATTATGAAATTAAGCTATAGGTGTAATCATAGTTCCTGTACAACTACTGGTACTTGTGAAGTCTGATATAGTCTTTCATTAGAGCCATATTTTTTCTCCTCAAGATCCCTACTTGCTGCCTTGAACAGAACTGACCTTCTCTGATGTTAAATCAAGGCAAAATCCAGGGTTTCATTGTGTCTGAATGTTTTGTTTTAAAGCTGGAGACTGACATTCACTTCCAGATAGAATTCCCCCATGATGTCACAGAACAAAACATTTTGATGGTGATTTCATCATATCTGAGTTCTTACCTGAAATCATGAGACTGTTTCACTGAAGAATGAACATTTCCAGACACTTAAGTCACTGAGAGTTTGGCTTGGATATGTAAAAGTATGTAATTCTCAACACTCCTCAAAGATATGGATCTTAAAGACTCAAATTAGATATACTAAATCTATGGATATTTTTTACCTCAGTCTCTGTAGTACCTTCACATTTTAATACTGGAATCATGGTACGCCACAGTATAATATAATTTTCCACAAATTAAAAAAAGCTTTTAAATTTTTTAAACAATACAGTGATATACACCATAAAAAATGCCATTTAATAATTCTGTGTGCTGGATGCTGTTCTAACAGTGGGCAATAAGGCCATGAGACAAATACTGAACATGAACAAAAACTTTCTTAGTAAATCCAACCTTATGTATTTCTTCTGTGTAATTAAATAAAAATAAGGATTATTTTATTTAATTATTTTCTTTCTTTTTTTCATTTGCTCTTTCTTTCTTTCTTTCTTTCTTTCTTTCTTTCTTTCTTTCTTTCTTTCTTTCTTTCTTTCTTTCTTCCTTCCTTCCTTCCTTCCTTCCTTCCTTCCCTTTTTTTTCTTTTTTATTTTAATTTTATTCCAAATTGATATTCAGTGTAGAAAGTATACATAAACATGCCATTAGATTGTAATCACTGCATTAAGGGTATGATGAAAGTATTCTGATATTTTCTGGCTTCTGAGGGCTACATTGACTACATTATTCATATTTGGCAATATTAATATTGTTCTTTATAATAATTTTAGGGTTTTTACTTTTTTTTTTTCTAGGTTATTTATCAGCCAAAACTGAAATTAAAGAAACCTGAAAAAACAACAAAATTAAGTCTTATGTTTCCTTATTGATACTTAGGTGGTTGGTCATTAGCAAAAGCCTTTACAATTTGAACTAAATATATACAATGCTACTATTGTTTAGAGACAGAATGAATGTGATAATTTTATAGCAAATTTCATAGCTGTTTTTGACATCACTGATACCTGGAACAGTCAATAGCACTTCATCTTTTTCTCTCTATTCAGATCTAACTTTCATCCCTCTGCGTTCAAACATGGAAGCTTCCTGCTCCCATTGTTATGTCCCAGAAGAGGCCACATAATACCAGAGTATTGTAGTTTCTGGACAAAGAGATGAGATTGTCAATAGAATATTAGTTAAGCACATGTTGGGCTACATAAAATGTGAATAAAATATTTGAGGAACTTATTCCCTAAAAATGTCAAGTCCTTACCACTCTTATGTAAATACAATACTTTAGTGCATTGCAATTTAAACAAATTTGGATGGATTGATTTTTATATTCAGACAAAACCTCCAAAAAGCTAGCTTCTTAAAAGCTCAATTTCATAGTGGAATGTATAAAAATACTGAAAATATTTAAATAAGATTGCCTATAAATTTCATCATGGGTAAATCTAGCTTCATTATCAGATATCATTGAATCAGGCTGACTTTTTTCAAAAATTTAAATATAGATGTGGACTTGTAAAGAAGTTATATGCTAAAACTCAGTAAAGTAATAAGCAAGCAAAAAAAGGGATATATTATTTGAAGTGCCATGAAGTCATAATAGTTATCATTCTTACTTATAACTTTCAGAGGAATAATAATACCAAGTTAAGTTAATAACTTCTTCCAAGAATGACACAAGATAAAAACTTAAAAAGTTTTCTTATCAATACTTTGTGTTCATAAACTTTTTGAAACTGCAGTAAATTAAATATATCCTCCTTAAGTTGCACTATGAGTCATGCAGTGCCCCTTGAAAAAAAATAGACATTTAGTACAAAAATGCTAAAATTATTTTAAAAGAAAAACAAAAG